AAAGATTCATTAAAGAGTTCAATTTTTTAAATTTAAAGATCATATTACAATCCGGCGGCTTTATTGGGATGAAGTGAATATGTCGCTGCTTGTTCTACTTCTTTATATATTGTTTTCAGTTTAAATTTAAAGTGATTAAAAAATAATTAAGAACATTTAGTAGTGATGTGGGGTATCTGAGTTGAATTGAAGCAAATTAACTTCCAATTAATGTCAATTTTGGGTAATATGTATGTATGTATGGTTTGAATATAGATTTTGTGGAATTTGTGACTATAAATAAAAAGCATGAAAACATCCTAATATATAATAACTGCGGTTGCTGATATGTAAGGGGAAGTCAATATTCGATAATTCGGTTAAGATTTTCAAAAACCAAAATCTAATACGCATCAAGATTTTACAGTATACAAAAAAATGAATTTTAGTTAGGCTATTTCAATTCGCTGCTTACTAAAGCATTCATCTTTGCTAAATTCCTTTTTAGCGAAAACGTTAAACTAGAAGACGCCTTTTTAAAATTACTGAAATTGGGTGGTATACGTTTTACCATGAAATAATTCGGATAAACATACTGAACAATGTTTTAAAGAAGATCTCTTCTTTTCAAAATAGGGGCTGATATTTTCAATTTTAGCAAAACGGAAGTTTTAGCAAATCGGAAGATCAATAAGTCATTGTCTCGTCCAAATTCTCTTGTAATTACTCTTCGATCTTGTGACCAAAATAACATTCAGGCGGGTTTAGGGGGTTTCCCCAAAAAATATTTTTTTAAACAGTAGAAATTCACTTTTTTCTATTTAAATTTAAATTTGCAATAATTGATGCTCCAGTATTGTATTGCATATAACTTCGTGGGACTTTGGAAAAGTCACTGACATAAATTATTATGTAGCTAAATTTATTTTTTTAATGAAAGGCAACTATTATTATTGTGGTTTTCACATATTTTCATTCAATGAATATGATTTAAATTAAAATTAAAAAAAAATTAAAGCAGGAAACAAAACGTAAATGGGAAAGATGGAATTCTGTAGAATGGAATTTTAAAACATGCAATAATTCGGTTTGTTTATAACAGCCCGTTTTTGTAACAGTATTTTACCTTTCGTTTTGAATTTTTGCGATATATATATATATATATATATATATATATATATATATATATATATATATATATATATATTGGGTTTTTGTAGTGCACGTTCTTTTTGTGAGTAACAAACACAATAAAGCTTTTTTCCCTTGTATTTTTGGTTTTTGTAACGAAATATACAAACGAAAATGTCAGAAAAAAACGAAAAAAAAAACGATAAGAGAAGACCCATCGGTTTAAACATAAATTGGCTGTTTGTTACAGAATCTCACCAAAATTGTATTTGTATGACGGAGAATTTATATATGAACTATTTTTACATATCAAATTTTTGTTAGCGGATCTTGCAGGACCATATTATTCAAATGATTTCTCAAAATTTTTCAATTTTATCTTACAACTTTGTGACAAAATTTGAGTTTATTGGGGTTGTCACAATCAGCACAACACCTAATGAAATTATATTAAAAATTAACAAAATAACGGTTTTGGAAACCCTGACATATCAAAGCCTTTTGGAAATGGACCAGAGTTTTTACAACTTTTTATAAAAACACATATTAAAAAGGATACGTTTGAATACGAACGATTCGAGTGAAAGTAACTTTTTTACAAAAACATACTGTAATTCCTAATCGATAAATTGTAGAAAACGCAATAAAAAAAGTTTTATCCAAAATTTTCTTTTTCAATTTTAGGACAACTATTTTACTGTCATTAATTGTAAAATAGTTAAAACTAAAATTCGTTACACGGTAACTAAATTAGCGCCTAATATGTACACCCTAGAATTTATTTCAGTATTTCACGAAATATAAGAAAAACTATAAAATACACGAAGTTTCTTTAATATTTATAGCCTACAACACCATGTGTTGGGGCTATTATAAGTTTGATTGGACCAAAAATTATATAGGGTAAGTGTGCCTAAGTTCGGCATGTCCCAGTAGTCGGCACTTTTTATTTTTAGGCCCAAATAAATGAAACTATTATAACTAAATGTATTTTGTTTACTTCAAATATATTGCCAGCTATCTTTGTGCACAATTTCGCTAAGAAAAGATGAGTTATTCTAATAAAAATTAAATTTTTGTCTGTGAAGGTCCTCAACAAGTCATATTCTTAAGAAAAGTACAATAAAGACTCCGAATCAGTTTAACTAAAAAAAAATATTATATTTTAATGAATTAATTTATTATTATTATTAATTATTCTTACAAAAAAATGGTGTGCCGGCTGTTGGAAAATACCATACCGACAATTGGCAAGTGGTGCCGACTACTGGCAAAAAGCATTGTTTTAATAAAACTACAAATTTATGAAATTTAATAAAAAGTTATTAAAACTTTATTTATTATTGCAAAAACTATACAACATTTCGAATCTGAATAAATTAACTTTGTAATAATTGAAATGTTCCACTCAGAATGGTGAGCGATTAAAAACGCCAAAATCCTAAAAGTGCCGACTACTGGTACACTTACCCTAACACATCGAAATATTGGTCCAAGACCAAGACATAGGGAACTATATATGGATCTTAATATCTCGCCCATGTATGTCCGACCGTCCGTCTGACCGTCTGTCCACTTCAACATGTAAACACTCTAAAGGTCACAATTATGTCCCGATCGTCACGAAATTTTCCACGGAGGTGGGGTTAAGATTATAACAGAAGCCTATTAGATGCTCTAAAAACTAATCTACAAATCGGAGAGTGGACTCTGTGCGGAGAGTTTAGGGCTTGCAGAAGCCCACGAATTTGGATAGTCATCAAATACTATTTAGCGGCTGAAAAAGACCATAATCCGAAAATTTCCATTTAACGGTGAAATCACAAATACCCGAAAAAGTCACTTCTGACTGTTACATTGATGCTAATATCCAAGGTATCGCATATATAACAAAATGGTGACAATTCACACCAATTCCTTTTGGCAGGAAAGAATTAAACATTAAAAAATCGCATAAAAAATGCAAATTAATATGTGAACGCTTTTCTATAATATTTTGCAATATTTTTTATCATATTTTTTGAAGAATAAGATTTTTTGACTCACGATATTGAAAGGTACATTTTGTAATATTTGTCGCCTTACAGCACTACACTGAAAGAAAAATGCTTCGATGTATCAATGAACCGATTTCGTTATTTTTTTTTCATTGATGCAATGAAAAGCTACATTAATATAATATGTTTTTTGTTCATGCAATGAAAACTTATGTTGCTTTTAGATTCAATGATTTTTGGTTTCATTGAATATATGAAACGGATTTCATTAATGTTACGTACCTTCAGTAAAAAATGTGAATATAGAAATTATACATAATAGCGCTACCTTATACAAACAAAGACGCCACCAAAGTATTTACAATTTGAGGGAAATTTGTGATAATTGTTATATTTAAATTTGTGCTCCAATTTAATGAAGCAGTTGCATGAAATGGATGAAACATTACGTTATGGAGTTCGTTCTAGACCAAACAAATGATACATGGAAAATTTCATCTCAATTGGACAATAAAAACGACCTGCATTTTGTTCATAAAAATACATAGGCAGACTGTCAGACTTGCTAACATGCATAAACCGACTCAGAACGTGATTTTATAAAGAACATCCAAAAAGTAGGTTTTATCTCGCGTATTCCTACCTGTTACAAACAAATGCACAACGACAAATTTCACTGAATCAATGAAGAATTTTCATTACATTAATGAACAATTTCGTTAATTTTTACATTAATGAAACTCAATGCAACTTTTTTCATTTATTCAATAAACCTCTACGTTGGTTCAAAATCAATAACAAATTTCGTTGACGGAACGTATAATTTCATTTAAGGTATGAAGCTTTTTCTTTCAGTGTATCTGTTGGGATATTAATATTAATTCAGGTCGCAATTATCGTCCGATCTACACGAAATTTTGCATGGCTAAACCTACCCCATATAGTTAAAATAGTAAAGAGAACACCATATTTGTTGTATATTGGACCATCAGTTCTCTAAGGACCAATAGGAAATCAGCTTTGTCAAATACTAATGTTTTTTTAGAGATCGTATGTGTTGTAGGGTATCAAAATTGTTTAAGTTGTGAAACTGATATAACCGAGAACAGGCTTAGATAAATAAGGCGTTTTAGCCAACTAACAATATTGTTCACGGAAAATCGGTAAAATGTTTCCTAGTTGGTGATTTTTAAAAAAATCAACACGCTATTTGTGATTGGAATCGATTTAGACAAATTAATGCCCAATTTAAACTAATTAAGGAAATCAAAAATGAAAACTAAAAAATGAAAGCCTTGAAGTCGGGTTAAATTGGGTGTGTCTAAACTCATAGCTTTCGGTGTTCTATTAAAGTGAAAGTCTATTTTTACAAATTACACAAAATGCTCAAGATAGATGATTACGACTATTGTATTATTTTGAATTGTCGAAAGAGAATAATTTTGAAGGGTGAACAATTTTTTTTAATTATGGATACAGCTTTAAAAAAGTGATATTTGAATTAGGTTCGTTTTCTTTCGAGATGGAAACGAAAGAAGGTTTCGATTGCTGACCATAAAATAATTCCCATTTCTAACGGATGATATAAGAACATGAGTTGCGTTCCAGAAAACTCAGTAACATTTACTGTCAAAATAAAGAAAGCACATACAAATATGGTGTTCTCTTTACTATTTTAACTATACGAATTTGACCGAGTAAGAAATTGTAGCATGTTTGCAGCTACTGTTTGAATTAAAAAAATGCAGAAACAAAACAATGATGTATATAAAAGTTCAATGCTATCAATAAACAAAGCCACCTATTCAAAATATTTCTAATTAAAAAAAAAAAATAAATAAAAAAATTTCTTGATTTCGAATTTAAAATTCCTCCATTTCCAATTGCACTTACCTGAAATTTCCAACATGATATGCCACCACGGCCCGTGCCCTCAATACCGCTTCACAATTCAATATTTCGTGCATATTGGGCAGCGCAACCGGCAAACTCCAGAGAAATCTGGCTAAACGTTCTATATCGCCGGAATCTTCCAGTGTTTTGCAGACAATCTCCACTTGGGCGGCTGAAAAGGCAAGCGTCGGTATGGCCAAAATGGGACTGGGTGCTATGATTTGATGGGCAGCAGCAACAATGGGTACGGTGGCGGGTGCTGGTGAGAAATTTTCTTGAGGAGGTTGAGGTTGTTTACCCTCCGTCGGTCCAACGGCCATTTTATTCGTTGAATCCACTGTGAACAACTTTGCATACTATACTTGCAGCGATGATGTGAATAATTTTGGTGGCGTTTGTGTAATCGGGTGGAGCACACAAATGGAGGTACGTTTTTCGTTTGAATAAATTTAACAAAAAATAAGTTAATTTGTTTTTTCCTTTTTTGAACTTGTTTGAACTTCCTTATTTATTTTCTCTCTTTTATTGAAAGCACTCGCGTTTATGGACTTATTGGCTTGAGCTTTGTCCATTTGTTTCGAACTGGTTTTCACTGATCATTACTGTGGATTGATTTATTTCATGGGAATACCATATTGGGTTTTGCACTCATTATATCTTTTATTTTTCACTATTACCAAGTAGCTACTTCTTTGGTTAGTGTTGGCATTAATACCATCGGGAGTTCCTAGCAATTTTGGTCCGCAAACGTAAATAAATATGCTGTGATTTCTTTATTGCACCGTATATAATCACAAACTAGCTTCAAGTGGCTAACTACCAATGAACAACACCAGGCGAAACGGATATTTTGAAATCTATATTCGGGAACTTCGTGTTCGAATGTTGGTGTAGGGGAGATGGGGGTAGGTATGTATGTATATCATCCAATCAAGTAGTCAGCCCACAAGTAAAAAACAAACACAATATTTCTTTTATTATAAATTCACTTTTTTCTTATTTTTATTTGGTATACGCCGTCGCCAATTTAACTTCTCCGACGAACTCTTCACTGAACCTCCAATGGATAAATGTTGAAACGCTGAAGCGGGGCTACTGCTACTGTCACTAATTCAGCTGCCGGTTATTTTTGTAGGTAGCGTATTGTAATGTTGTTATGTATAGCAGCTTATTCCATATTGAGCGAGTATCATTCCCAACAAAACACGGACACATACATAGCTACGTACACACACACTCATGCACATTGATATGGGAAGAATAACAACAACCACCACTACTTGCTCGCACTACCGTTTTAAATATGAAATGCCACAATGAACCGAACGGAAGATACGATACGTCGTTGCCTTTGCGTTATAATAACACCACACAGATATTCTTCCACCAAAAACAAAAAAACAGCATCAACACAAACACACACTCAGTGATCCAACAACCACGGTTCGCGGTATCTTCTCGCAACAATAAACGAGGCGAGTATCATGAACAGCCGTTATGTACAGGACCAGGCTGTGGTTGATTCCCAGATGCACAGACACATAAACAACCTCGTCTACTACGATGCTATACGCGGCGAAATATACTTTCATACACCACACAAAAAATAAAACAAATTGCTTTGAAGGAGCCAAGAAAGAACACAAAAAACACAACAGAGACGTGTCAGCGATGCGCTCAATTTTAAAATTAACTCATCACCGTTCCAATGGCAGATACAATCTGAAATATTGTTAAATGGAGATGCAAGTGAAACCAGAAAAAGAAACAACATCATATCATCATCATGCTCACCTCAAACACTCACACGCAGTAGCAACAACAACAGCAAACAAAAAGGCGTAGCCAATTTTCCTCTTTACTAAAGCCAACAGCTTTGGATCTCTTTCACACATACAGTTCTCCTTTTTACTCCCAGCGCCATTTGTAAACAAGAACTCTTTTGAAACCGGGCTCTTTCCTATTAGAATTAAGAAAACTCTATCTATCTCTCTCTTTATTGCACAAATTCGACTACTCATGAACGCCACAATCTCTCTCTTTTCCTCATACTCTCTATGAAGGCAAAGCACAACGAATCTCATTACAACCCCAATGCGTTGTGAGCACACAGTTAGTTGACTCCTGTTACATTTGTTGTTGTTTCCATCGTTGCTCTTAGAAAATACAATGGTGTGTGTGCCATTGAATGTGTTCGGCTATTATTAAATACAATGATATGACTAACAACGTTTTCTTTTTTTCTTCGTTTTGTTGAGAAATATACCAACTGAAAATGTTCGTTGCCCTTGTTGTTGTTGCTGCCACTGCAGTGTGAGTGTGCCTTCCCTTATTTTATATCCATTTAACTTTGCCAGAGTTAGTTTCAATACTTCACAGCTCTCCTTGCCCTCTTTCATTGTATTCATGAGCTATGCAAGCCAACCATCCTGCAATCTTGTTTGACAGTCGTTTAGTCAGTGGCAACCTACAGCGAGACAATAATAACAACAACAGCAGAAGCAGTTGGAACAGCAGCTGATGATGGTGATGAATATCTTTTTCGGTCGTGTCGTATTTCTGTAATTGTTGCCAATGTTTCAATGTTTCCATTGTTATTGTTGTTGCCCTTGTGTTTGTAACGGTAGTATATCCTTTACGTACAATTGTGTATGTGTGTGTATACACATCGTATTATATTTGGCACATTACATTCAACTTGGGCCGAGATCTATTTACTTTATTTCGTTTTGATAATTCATTAATGGATTACGAATACAGCAGAGGGTTACAAATGAAAACTAAAAAAATGTAATAATAATACATACCCAACTATAAGAAAGAATACCACGTTGTTGCATAGTGGGATGCTAGTCAGAAATACGACAATAAATTTATTATTTTCAAAGGAACTTCTTGGAGAAATTAACAAGTCATAATTTTATTTAGTATTGTTGGCAAATACCTAGGTTTAATGTAGCAGTTGTCTGTACCTAAAGTTTGTCTTCATACAATTCACTAATCCAGAATGCTCTGTTGGCAAAAAGGATAAGTTTAAAAAAAACACATCATTATAATTATATAATAATACTATATACCATAAGTTTTAAGTTTATGAGGTAAACAAAACTAGATACCTTGCAGCATGGACATAAAAGTTTTGATATAGGTGTTCACGGAATCATTTATTCATGTCATGCATATCGAGCTTTTAGAGGAATGGATTCAAAAGACTGCATCAATGTGTAAGACTGCAGGTGAGAGCTGATATTTTTTAACGAAGCGCATGTTGTTTTTTTCTTCCAAAAACAGCCCCTTTATTCCATAATATATTATAAATATTCTCAATATATATTTTAATGTCAATTTTGTTCTTCAGTATGAATTTCATCAAACCTATCAAAAGCCCACTCAGATTATATACAACCCTATATTTAAAACTTTTTAAAAATGTGTATACATCTATAATGGGAATTTGAAAAAATCCCGCCTTAACTCGAACTTTCCTATGAGGAATGACCACAATTCAGTTCTAGGTTTTACCAAACTCTCTCCCCTGTAACCAACCGCAAACTTAATGATAATAAAATGTCAATTCTCTGCATATTTCGTTCAAAATGCACCCGTTGTATGAAAAGTATAAAGATTTAGGGTTTTTTATGAATCAGTCACACAATAATTTAAGAAGTCAACGCCAATTTTCAGCAAAGTGGGTATTTCTTTCAGCACAATTTCACAACTACAGTATTTAGTACTTAAGGACTTTTAGTACTAATAAAGTACGAGTTTGAAACTGGCATTGTTACTTTTCGTAAATTTGTTTGTACCAAAAAGTACAATTTCAAAACACACTTCAACTGACCAGAAAAACTACAAAGAAAGCTTGAAATCTGAAATTTGTGACTTTATGGTCACTTTATGAGCGGCGCGGCTGAGATTTGGGGGTAATTTTGGAAATACATGTTAAAATGTACGAAAAGTAGGTGTAGGAATAGAACTGGAGTTATGAATTCTCGTATTTGGATTACTGTGAATGCGAAGCATTTAGATATGGGATTTTGGAAATGTGTATTGTAACGTGTACGAAATGTACTTAATTTGATATAGAGTGTTGAAATAGAGCAGGAGTTGTGAATATTTGTTTGGGTATCACTGTGATTGTGAAGCATTTAAATACGGAGATATATTTGTAAATCGTTGTATATTGTGTACGAAAAGTACTAAATGATAATAAATTTTTTTTAGACTTTAGGAAAAGAGCTGGAATGGAGGTGAATTTGGAAATTCGTACTATGACGGGTACGAACAAAATTTGATGTAAGTGTACAGTTTTTTGAAATGCGTGTACGATAAGTAATAAATTCGGTAGAGAGTGCAGGAATGGCGGCGAAAAACATTTTTGAGTTTTGCCTTGTTAAGGCGAAGATCATATGTTTTATGATTTAAGTGTTTGTTTGTTTGTTTTTGTTAGAATTACTATGAGTGTGTGGATCTTAGATATGGAAATAGATTTGTGAATGGTACTATAAGGTGTACGAAAGGTAAAAAAAACGGTATATACAGTAGGAAAAAAGGCTACCATTGCACATTTCGTTATTAAAATCACTGTGAAATATATGCACTTTAGCAGAACTCCCAAAAAACGCTCTCGAATGCGAGCGAGAAGCGGCCCTGGGAGAACAAAAAATCAAGCAAACTCAATTTTTCGTTGTGGCTCGGATAGTAGTGGGCATATTTTCCTCGGTTTTGAGTGGGAGCAAACTTCGAGCAGATTCTGCTCTTGCCGAGCTCTCCTTTACTTTTTGTCATTCCGTTGTTGTATTTTTATGCGTGTGTATGATTTCTGTAGGTAGCTGGTTTTATATATAAGCAATATATATAGTTCAACCCTGAAAATAGCAACACTATATTTTCTCTTTTTTTAGATTTGCCCCACTGTATTATTAAAAATACATTTTTTAGGCTTTTGTAACAACTACCCCATATCAAAAGTGCACAGAAATGCTTAACACGCTGTAAGTGGTCGGTGGGGTATCGTTACCCTCTTTTCCTAGAAATTTGACGTTGCCATTAAGGCGTTGCGCATTATCCGACCAAATGCAGCGTCGTATAGCAGCGGTTATGATGGCAAACGGATTCAACACTCCTCTTTCCACTGCCTAAGGATTATGAAAAAAGTCATGGAAGGAGAATACAAGGAATGGAAAAGTAGAAAAAGTTTGCCTGCGTGGATTTGGTTTTTCTGTTCATATTTTACGTAATTGATGCAATGGAACGGAAAGGCGTTATGGATGCCGTACGGGCTAAAAATTCTTTTTTTGTTGTTATTTGCCTCCAAGCATTTGTCGCTCCATATTACATATGTACGTTTGATATGACCAAAATATGAGCACAGTTATAATTTTATGATGGCAGTGGCAAAAGAAGGCACAAAAATCGATGCGATGAGCAATAAATATAAAATCACGTACTATATTTATATGGTAGCGAATATATAACCATATTTGTAGGTATATATGTGCGTGTATGAATGTACAACAGTATATACATTACGTTGATATATAATACGCGCTTTCCAGGCCATAATTGGTGTGAGCGAGAAGCTTCGTGTACTAGCTGCCGCGACCACAATCCAAGCAGTTGAGAGCCAGGCCTGCTGCCGTAGTCGTTGTCGCTCGTTGGTGGTTGACATGCTAGTTCTGTTGAGTGTTTGTAGGCCTGCCCGTTCGCCCGTCTGTCGGTTGGTGTATTTGGTTACCACCATTAAAATTGTATGGATGATTGGATGACCGCTTGAATTGCTGGCTTCAATGACTTTGGAGAGTGACTCTCTGTCGCTGCATTGCAATTCGAAGGAGTAAAGAGTACCAACCGCACACACACACAGCTGAGCAGCAGAAAATCTCGACATAATAGTGGTTGTATTATGACGTTTGGAGGTTCTTTTTCTGTATAATATTTGTGTTGTGTTTATATAATTTACAAAAAAAAAAGAACTTCAATGGTCGGTGAAACGAATGAGGATAATAATGATTGTTGTATTTCATTTTTTGTGTAATAATCAGCGAAAGGATACATTCGTTCATTCATTCATTGGCATGGTTAATTTGATCATAACCGAAGGATAGTAGAGGGCTTCGTTGCTGCTGTTTTTATTTGCGATTTGTGGGGGAGCTGATTAAATTTCGCAGTATTGCTGAGCAAAAATTGATTTTCATTATTATTGTAAAATGTATTTAAGGTATGTTTGTAGTCGTTGTTGGTAGTTGGACTTTAAATTTTAAGAATCAATATAGTAACGATTTTAAAGTGACATAGGGTAAAGTACCAAGAAAGCATAAGTCTACGCTGAAGGTCATGGTTATTCCTCACCCCGACCTTTATAATATAATATAAATCACTTTAACTGAGAAATCCAAAGCCGTATTTAAAACAAGAAGTTTTCCTTTTCTGAGGAAGTATCTTACTAAACGAAAAATCTGACCAAACTTGCTATTTTCTAACAAGAAAATTCTCTAATCGAAACCCAAAATAAACTATTAAGTTCGACGCCCAGCTTTAAACTAAAAATTAATATATAAGGTAAGTGCACCTAAAATGGCACGATCCTCACGAAATTTTGCATGAAGAAGCAGTTGTGGTCAGAATAGAAGCCTATTTTTGAGAGATATAATCACAAAATATTTAAAAAGACCAAAACAGAAATTTTTTAAGATTTTGCAGTCAGAG